ACTTCAGTGTGTACTTCCTGCAAAGCAGGACATTTTCTACATGATCATAGTAAATTATCAAAATTGAGAAATTAATATTCATGCAATATTATTTATCAGATCTACAGAGCTTACTCAGATTTCTCCAGCTGACCTAAATGTTCTTTTTGACAAAAGAAAAAAATGATTTTATGGTGCAGAATCACAAGTTGCAGTGGGTTGTCACAGCTCTTGAGTCTCCATCAGTGTGGAACAATCCTCAGTCTTTCTTTTCCTTTATTCATGCCTTTTGTGTCTTTGAAGAGTACAGGCCACATATCGTGTAGAGGTGGAAGATGTGTTCTATGCATGATCTGCTGTCAGTCGTGCACAGAAGTGCTGCTGTGTCCTTCTCAGTGGGCCATACCAGGAGGCACAGGAATGTTGGTTTGTCCCCTAACCAGGAGTGCTAATTTTTATCACCTAGTAGTGGTGTCTGTCCAATTTCTCTACTGTGAAATTATTATTGCCCTCTTTTTAATTCGTATGTATTTTATGCAGAAATTCTTTGAGATTCTATTGTTATTGTTTCTCATCAGAATTTTACCTACTAGTTTTAGAATTGCCTGAAACAATTGTTACTATGTCAGTTTCCAAATGATGATTTTCTAATTCTACCATTCCTTTTACATTTATTAGTTGGCATATTAATTCTCTTCTAAAATGAGGCAAGTGATATGCCCTCTCTAACTGAAAAGCCTGTTAAGAGGATCTCATGAGACCTATATGTAAAAGTGCAGAGCAGAATGTTTCACAAATATAAGCCACTGTTTTGCTATTTCTCCCCTAATGCTTGCCATTGGCGACAACACAGCGTTTCTACTCTCTGTTCCAGGGCACATTAAACCTCATGAGTATTTGCTGTCTTTACACAATTCCCATGGGGGTTTGGATTGTAATAGAGGCTACAGAATCCACTCAGGGAATATAGTCAACATTTAGTTATCCAATAATTATTTATCAAAGCCAAGACTTGAGCAAAATACTATACTAATTGAATATATAAATACAAAATTTCCTTAAAATGTCTAAATATGAAATTTTGCTAGCTAGTTATCCCACCTCACCCTTCAAAAGTATACATTTTTAATGTATTTATATATTTGAGAAGGGAAAATCTTGCTACATGGACAATAATTTGCAACAAATCAATAATTCCTCCACAGGAAAGATTTGGGGAAACTATAGCACATTACTGAGTCATAATACTCTGAAAACTTGACTGCTTTAGAAGTAGTCATAGCTATACCATGAGGATGAACTAGTTTGCCCAAACCTAACATATTTTAATATTTACCTCTGACTTATTTTTATCAATTGATAGTTCTTTTACCCTTTCTCTTTTTAGCTATAGATCTTTTGGCAGGAAGAAAGGATGAAAGCAGAGCCCAAACTTCCTGGAGAAGTGAAGATATATTAGATTAAGTTACTTTTTAACTAAAGTAATCTGTTCCTTATAAAGCAATAGAAATAAAATTGTGTGTATGCACATGCATGAGTATGTGTGTGTATCATTCTATCTGTGTGTATGTTTGTCTTTCTCAAAGAAATACTTATATATATTATATATATAGAAAACAATATTTATATGTAGGAAAAAACCTGGAAGAAAATGTACCAAAATACTGAGTGAAATGTGATAAACATTACTTCCTTCTTTAATTTTTTTCTGGATTTGCTAAACTTTTTTTTTTATTACAAGCATAAGTTACTTTTATAAGCAGAAAAAAAAATGAAGATTTTTTTAATGGTGCAAAGGTAAACCCAGGAAATAATTGTAAAAAAAGAAAATCCACATAAAGTTTATAAAATTGCTCGGCCTTGCAAATGCTTTTTGAACAGTGTCCATGAACAGCCATGATTTCAAAAGCATTCGTGAGGTATGAACATTCACACAGGGCCCACCCATTGTCTCTATGAGGCACTCAAGGCCCATTTTGATTCTAAGGGTGAATCCAGGTCAAGGGAGAAGACACTATGTGGATATAAGAACAAAGTGAGAAAACTTTCTAAGCCATGAGGGAAGGAGATAGGTCTTTCTCTCATGTGATTTTCTCTGTGGCTCCTCTTCCTTCCAAGGCAGAGAGAGCCTATATAGGCCTGGGCTGCTCCCACGTGGGATGGGACCTGCTGGTCTCCTTCCCTCAGGTTGCCCTCTGGCTGTGAGCTACGAGGCCTGAGCTGATGTGATGCTCGGACATGAGGCAGGAAGGCAAATGCCTTCCAGTTCTTGTTCACTTTCTCTCACTGGATGGCTTGCTCTTCCCCCACCATGGGTACCCACAAAGAAAGTGACAGTGTAGGCTGTCTTTGTGAATAACATTTTATTATATATGGAATTTTATATTCCAAAATAGTCTAAAGTCTTTTCCTGCGGTACTTTTAATATTACACTTTCAAATTAATAGTATGCTTGTTTTCAATCATATAATTGTCTGATTTATCCATGACTGTTATTTTGCAGGCAAATTCTGTAGAATAATTAATAGAACTTTCAATTGGCATGTATATGTAAATGGTAAAGACTGTAGAATTAATACAGTATTCTTTCTTTAACATTTATTTTCAATCCAAAAATAATTGTGGTATTTCTAAATTGGTGCAGTAAGCATACATGAAATAATAACATTTCTTTAAAATAAAATTTTAAAAAAGGTGGTATACACTGAGGGGAAATGCACGTGCAGACTCTGAAGACAGTGGAAAGGCAGCCCTCTGTTTGTTTGATTTTGGGCCAAGAATGCCTCCAGCACTGGCTAAATTAATTTCCAGGTCCTTCTGCTGCAATTATGGTCAAAGCCTCACCAATTTAAAGCATGAATTTGCTTTACTTTGTTTCTCTGTACATGTGATTGTCTTTCTCACAGGAAGCTGGTGTCCAGAGAAGACAGAATCTGAGGGTCCTTATTCTGGCTTGGGATTCTGTGTCTTTGACCATCCCTCTCTCTCTCAATCTCTCCCATTCTTCTCATCCTTTCTTGGTGAACTCATTAGTGGCCCTGAACTCTAACACGCTCTGCATTGAGCTGTAACAGTCTCAGAGTTGGGTTGAAGGATGACATTAACACGCTCAAATAAGAAAATGGAAACCAACTTGAAAATATTTTCATAGTGGCAACTGCAAAATAGTCTCCTTTTTACCCTCAGTCTGAAAATAATTTTAAAATCTGATAAATCAATTAAAACTGAATGGCATTTTCTTAAAGATTTTATTTATTCTACTCTTAAATTTCATGAAGTAGCAACAGAGAAGATTTTACCAAGGTAGTCTATCTTTCAGATAGATGCATTCACATGAGATTAATGTCCTGTCAACCCAGTGACCAATGTCAGCTTTGCTGTGGCTCCTCTCTTTCTTCCACTTACTTTCTCTATTACTTGGTTAGTTTTTGCATTGCTTTAGAGGAGTGATTTAGCACTTAAATGGCCATCTTCCCAACCAAATAAGAGTAAATGTATTTTTAACTATTTATCCAATCAAATGCATTAAAATATCTTTAGTTCATAGAGTAAATAATCCTAAAATTTATATAGAATCATAAAAGACACAGAATTGCCACAGCAATAGAGAAAAAAGAACGAAGCTTAGAGGTATGACCCTCCTACACTTCAGATAATACTACAGAGCTACAGTAATCAAAACAGTATGGTATTGGCAGAAAAACAGACATATGGATCAATGGAGCAGAACAGGGAGCCCAGAAACAAACCCACACACCTACGGTCAATTAACCTTCTGCAAAGGAGGCAAGAACATACAATGGAGAAAAGACAGTTTCTTTGGCAAGTGGTGCTGGGAATACTGGACAACCGCATGTGAATCAATGAAGTTAAACTACTCCCTCACATTCACACTATACACAAAAATAAACTCAAAATGTCTTAAAGATTTAAATATAAGACAGAACACCATAAATCTCCTGGAAGAAAACAGGCAAAACATTCTCTGAATAAATTGTAGCAATGGTCTCTTAGGGCAGTCTATCCATGCAATAGAAATAAAAGTAAAAATTAACAAATGGTATCTAATTAAACTTATAAGTTTTTGTACAGCAAAGAAAACTACAAACAAAATGAAAAGACAACCTATGGCATGGGAGAAAATATTTACAAATGATGCAACTGACAAGGGTTTAGTTTCCAGAATATACAAACAGCGAATACAACTCAGTAACAAAAAAAATACACAATCCAATCAAAAACTGGGCAGAAGACCTTCTTTAAATAGATATTTTTCCAAAGAAGGCAGCAGGTGGCCAATAGGCACATGCAAAGATGTTCAACATCACTATCAGAGAAATGCAAATCAAAACTACAATGAGATAACACCTCACACCAGTCAGAATGGCCATCATTAAAAAGTCCACAAATGATAAATGCTGGAGAGGGTGTGGAGAAAAAGGAATCCTCCTACACTGTTGTTGGGAATGCATATGTGTATATACATACAATGAAGTACTACTCAGCCATAAAAGAAGAATACAATAATGCCGTTTGCTGAAACATGGATGAACCTGGAGATCATCATTCTAAGTGAAGTAAGCCAGAAAGAGAAAGAAAAACACCATATAATATCACTAATTTCAGAATTAAAAAAAGGACACAAACTTATTTACAAAATAGAGACAGACTTATACAGAAAACAAATTTACTGGTTACTAGGGGAAAGGGGGTAAGGAGGGATAAATTGGGAGTTTGGGGTTAGCAGATACAAACAACTATATATAAAATAGATTTTTAAAAAAAGGGCCTACTCTATAGCACAGGGAACTATATTCAATATCTTGTAATAACCTATAATGAAAAAGAATATATATATGTATAATTGAATCACTATGCTGCATACTAGAAACTAACCCAATATTGTAAATCAACTATACTTCAATAAATAAATAAATAAAAATATCTTAAGTTCATCAATCCTGGGTTATAATGCCTTGATGGTTCTAATTTGAATTTTCTTTCTAATTTTGAACACTCAGGTCCCCATTGTCTTTTATTGTTCAAGAAAGAAGAGTCCCTGCCATACACAGGGAAAAAATGCTCCTTTGGGTGTTAGCCCTCCTGATCCTTTGTGCTTTGCTATGGAATTATAAAGGACAACTAAAGATTGCAGACATCACTGATAAATACATTTTCATCACTGGGTGTGACACTGGCTTTGGAAACTTGGCAGCCAGAACTTTTGATAAAAAAGGATTTCATGTAATTGCTGCCTGTCTGACTGAATCAGGATCAATGATGTTAAAGGCAGAAACCTCAGAAAGGCTTCAAACTGTGCTTCTGGACGTAACTGACCCAGAGAATGTCAAAAGGACTACCCAGTGGGTGAAAAACCAAGTTGGGGAGAAAGGTAAGCGATGTAGGGGTGAGGAGAATAGAGGGAGTGCTGAAAAATTACCAAAGCTAAACAAAATGTGTTCTAATTTTAAATAGTCTTTCAAGAAAATGTCTCCTAAATACCAACTGTGTACTGGAGAAGATAGAAGAACTCTTCAGATAGCCCCTGAGTCGTTCTAAGTTGCAAGCTCTCTACATGCACGAGAGACATAGCTCAGGTTATCCTCCGTCTTAAGTCCCAGTTGGTGAATTTAGAACCAAGATGGAGGTATTGACTTTTCCTGGTCTTTTCCCATGAAGTGCTACTCTAGCTACCAACACATTAAAGGAACTAGAGGCTAAAAGCTACAGGAGATCATGTGGGCCATTCCCAAGTTGCCACCTGGGTACCTGGGACCCACTTCTCACTATAAAACGGTTCAAGAGCTCACATATTTTCACTGGGAAAGGTAGAGAATGGTCTGAGAATCTGAGCAAAGGTGTCTTAGATAATCATGGTAGAGTAGTGAGTCACTGGACCTCATTCTGCATTAGATTCTGCTAAGATGACAGCATTCTGAACTAGAAGACCTTTATTGGCTTGAATAAAGTTTGAAACATTCTCATGGATGAAGATATTTGGGTCCCCAAAGGAAAAAAACAAATGTATGTGATTTTTTTCTTTATCACCTCTTCATCATATAGTTGAGATTCTGGACCTCAAAAACAATGGTTTGATAAGGCTCCAGATATTTTTTAATGCTTGAATTCCAAATACCTTTAACAATATTAAATGTTTCCCATCATGAAATAAGCCTGAGTGAATGATTTGATTTTCTATCAAAAATAAATGTGAAGTCGATTGATGTTGCTCTTTGTTTACAGAGAAGAGTTTATAAATATTCTCTGGCTTTGCCATCAAGCATGGTAGGAAAAACAGACCAACGGACTCACATCTGAGATTAAAAAACAAAAAGTCTTGCTCAGACAGTAGAAGTATTTGACATTCAGAAACAGAAGCAGAGTGACTGTGAGATTGGCTCCAGTAACAACTTCAGCTATTTTAAGTTAGCCTCCCACCCTCTGCACTGTCACTTCCCCAAACTGTAAAGTATGTCAAAGCAGGAAGGAGTGTGACTAGAAGGAAAAAATAGCATCATTGGTGAGGCAGGGGCTGTATTTCCATCAGGATGCCCACATAAGTGCCACCTTCTACCACACCTCCTTCCCCTCCTCTCTGTTCTAGGTCTCTGGGGTCTGATCAACAATGCAGGTGTTCCTGGCGTGCTGGCACCCACCGACTGGCTGACGGTAGAGGACTACAGGGAACCTATTGAAGTGAACCTGTTTGGGCTCATCAATGTGACGTTAAATATGCTTCCCTTGGTCAAAAAAGCTCAAGGGAGGGTTATCAACGTGTCCAGCGTTGGGGGTCGGCTTGCATTCAGTGGAGGGGGTTATGCTCCATCTAAGTACGCAGTAGAAGGCTTCAATGACAGCTTAAGGTAAAGCAAAAGTGGACATATTAGGAAATAATAGCTGCTAACATTTATTGAACACTTATTATGTACCAGACACTCAAGTTAGTGCTTTAAATTATTCTCAACTTACAAATGATACCACTGGAACTAAGAGAGATGAAGTAACTTGCCCAAGGTCACCCAGCTGTGAAGTGGTAAAACTGATACTTGAACCTTAATCTATCCAATTCTTTTTTTCCTTTTGCATGAATGCATGATGTGGATAGTGGTGGTAAATTCCACTGGTAGAAGTTTTTAAAAAATGTTATGCTGAAGACTCCTGTAAAATCAGTAATACTTCCCTAAATATTCCTGGTGGAAACATAAATTAAATTCAGAGAACGATTATTCATATAATGGTTTGCAATACACTGGCTTGCTTTAGAGAAAAGGGCACCATATTCTATTAAAACCCTGTCATCCAGTAAATGAGCAGACTTGGTTTTCTGAGGCACATGATGAAAGACCTTGCTGACCAGCATAGGGAGTGGGTTAGTCAGGTCAAGCATTGTCACACAGTGTCCCTCACCATCCCTCATTTGTGCTGCAATCTCCTTACACTCCTAGAGGGGAGATAAACTTGATCATCCAGGTCAGTCATTAGTTGATTTGCCATCAGTTACTTTGAGTGCTGAGACAAAACCTGCCCCTAACCCAAAGGCTTGTCAACGTAATGAGACAGTATAGTTTAGGGAGAACACTGGACTGGGGTGTGTCCACCCAGATCCCTGTCCTATTCTGCCATTAAACCAGTCCTCACTTCACAACCCTGAACTTCAGTTTTCTCATCTGCAAACTGGGAGGGTAAAACAAGATGCTCTTTCCAATGCACCCAATTCTGTGATTCCATGAAGAGTCATAAGTGAACATCCTCTAGATAAGCCAACATTAAACATTTTTGACGCGTTCTTTTCACAGGCGAGACATGAAAGCTTTTGGTGTGCACGTTGCATGCATCGAACCAGGATTGTTCAAGACAGATTTGTCAGATCCAGTAAAGATTACTGAAAAAAAACTCACCATTTGGAAGCATCTGTCTCCAGATGTCAAACAACAATATGGAGAAGGTTACATTGAAAAAAGTGAGTTTCTGGGTGGACCCAGGGTCCTCTGGGATTCATTGTCTCAGGCAGCTTGAAAGAGACTCAAACATAAATCCAAAAATAAGATTCTTATAGTAATATACTAATAGAGATCTCAAATGTGGATCAGAGATCTCTGTTAATTCCACTGTCATCCCTTGGGCCTCTGAGGGTTTATATACATTTACTGAGCATTTACTAAGTGTCAAGTTTTATACTAAATGCCTTAAGAATTACATCATTTATTCCTCAAAAGAATTATAGTAGTGAGCAGAAGCTTGGAAAGGTGAAACATCCCACCCAAGTTTATACAGCTCCTCCTGACCATGGTCTGGACTGGAGCCCATTGTCATTACTTCTACACAAACCTCCTCTTTTTGGTAAACACCCACTACTCATTAAACATTGTTCAAGGATTTATGGAGGTTACAAAATATAAAGACTCAGACTCTGACCATTTACTAGCTTATAATCTAGTTGACAACAAAAGTAACCAGATGAAACTGAACAATAAGACTACACAGCATGTAAGAAAATTAATTCTTTGCTTCTTGACACAACCCAACAGCCCAGAAGGGGTGCCAGATAGTGCAATCTCTAACTGTCCAAGAAATTAGCAAAGGATAAAAGATTGCTGGCTAAGAAGCATTTATGGGTCAATCAGGCTTGAATAAGGCCTAAAGGACAAGAAGAAACTATTTGGGTGGAAACTTTCTGGAGCAGGAATGCATGGAGGGGTGGAGATGGAAGAAGAAGTAACGTAAGTCAGACTGAGTCAGGGACAGAAGAATAATAATAAAGATTAGCAAATGATGACTAACACATAGTGAACATTTACTATGCACTTGTCACCATTCTAAGTGCTTTACGCTTAGACTCTTTCTCTTAAAATGCCCAGTCTTACAGAAATAGAGGCACAGAGATGTAACTTGCCCAACATTGTGCAACTAGTAAGTGAAGAGCTACATTTGAGCCCAGAAACCCGACTTTGCCGTCTGTTCTCAGGCCCCACACTGTCACATGAACAAGGCATTGAGGAACTGTTTGAACTTCCTGTACCAGGGCTCCACCTCCACATCAGACTTCCTGGCCTTGTTAAGGTTTACCTGATATTCCCCCTGCTTTGAGTCAAACAGGGCCCCACCTAACTTTGTGTCACTCTAACCTCCGCTGTGATCTTGCCTTTTCATCAGTGGGCTTGGTAAGACAGCCAACTATGGCAAGGTTCAAGGCCAGGAGCTTTCAAGGTGAAGCCAAGAGCCCAGTCAGATCCCCTGGGGGGAGGTTTTTAGAATGATAGACTTCCCCAACCACCCCACCACACATGCACACACGCGCACACTCACACATAGATATGTATATATCAACCAGAACATCTAGTTTGACAAACCTCCCAGTGCTGACGTGTCACTACATATTTGGTTATAATCACTGCCATTAAATGCTCTGTTTCTCATTTACTTCCTGACTTTGGAGGCTCTAAGTAGGTTCAGAAACAAAATCTCTCATTTAAAAGAGCTTTCTCTGTTTGACACTGCCATCGATACTCTCTAAATGCCTATGAATATATATCATCAACTTCCATCTAAAAATTATTTTTGACTTGACCCCTGGGTCAGGTGTCCTATCTCAGAATTACCAAAGGCTTGGAGCCCAATTTTGCACTGGTTACTCTTATTAGAGTTTTCCAAGTCAGGACTTCGAAATCAGCCAGACTCCCAGTTCCAAAGTAAACCACAAATTCAAGCTTACATTTCTCCATTTCCCAGGCTGGAGTAGTAGGAGTTTAAAACAGCCACAAAGACTTAGGAGATAACCTCAGTTAAGCTTTTGAACAACTTGTGGCCACAGGGGCCTGAAGTTGAAAGAAAGATTTAACGTAGTAGATTTTCCCTTGAAAAGACACAACTCAAGGCACATTTTAAGAGCTTGGAGGAATGTTCCAAGCCATCACCAATCTATAAAGTACCTGCCTCTTTAAAGGTGTCTTACCTCATTTCCCAAACACTCCACTGGCCTGAGAACCAGGAAGCCTTTAGCTTCCTGAGTCAAGGGTTTAGGGGATGATTCTCTCTTTATTCACTGGATTACAGGGGTACATGGCATACATGGGCACGTACACACATGCACATGTGTGCACATTTCCTATAAACACATTACTCCCTTAAAACAAACCCTGAATCAAACTATTAACTTCCTGGATTCACGAGCCTCGGAGACCTTATGAAGTATCTTTCCCTCATTGCTTTAAAGTACTGCTTCTCACAGACTCACAGACATAGAAAACAAACTTAAGGTAACAAGGAGAGGGGGAAGCAGGAGGGAGAGATAAATTGGGAGTTTGGGATTTGCAGATACACTCTACTATATATAAAACAGATAAATAAAAAATAGATAAATAACAAGGTCCTACTCTATAGCACAGGGAACTATACTCTGTATCTTGTGGTAACCTATAATGGAAAAGAATATATGTATGTATATGTGTGTGTATAACTGAATCACTATGCTGTACACCAGAGACTAACACAATTTTGTAAACTGATTATACTTCAATTAAAAAAAAAAGCAGTGATTCTCAAAGTTTGATCCCTGGACCAGTGCTATCAGCATCACCTGGACACCTGGCAGAAACACAGATTCCTGGGTCCCACTTCGCACTTAGTCAGAAACTGGAGGTGGGATCTGGGTTTTAACAAGCCCTGTAAGAGATTCTGCTGCTCATTCAAGTTTGAGAGCCAGCTGTCTAAAGAAAGCACTGCTGGATCCTTTTCTGAGGAATAGATAGAAACCTATTACAATAGGACCCAGTTATAATCGCAAATTCAAAATAAATTCCCACATAAAATGCCAGCGTGATAAAGATGGAAAAAAATAACAAAATAAATTCATGTACATGCATTCTCCCCCTCACAACCTAGCCTCACACACCCCTGTTCCCTTCTCCCACAGAGTAAATGTGCTTTTGTCTCTTTTTACAGGTCTAGACAAACTGAAAGGCACTACATCCTTTGTGAACATGGACCTGTCCCTGGTGGTAGAGTGCATGGACCATGCTCTCACAAGTCTCTTCCCTAAAACCCATTATACTGTTGGAAAAGACGCCAAAACTTTCTGGATACCTCTGTCTCATATGCCAGCAGTTCTGCAAGACTTTTTATTGTTGAAACAGAAAGCAGAGCTGGCTAATCCCAAGGCAGTGTGACACAGTTGACCACAAATGCCTGCCCCGGGCTGTGAGATTGGCTGATTTCAAGGACACATCTCCTTCTCCAGCTCATTCTTTACCTAATCCAATTTGGATTATCATTTAGATTATGCTTCTTTAGGTAAATAAAGGGATACTACCATCACTGGTGATGTCCCAGGGTCTCTTCTCAAGCTTTTTTGGAAAAGATGAGCACGGATGGGACCTGTCCAATATTTAGGCTTTGCCTGCTTGGTATGATTATGAGGGAAATGGAAAGGCTTTCCCATCCAAAATGATCTCCACCACTGACTGCCTTTGCCTTCTTATCAAAATATTAAGAGATAAGTAGAATACTTTCATAAGTGGTGTTTCATTAGATGTGTTATCTCGATGAGAATAAGTTTTCTGAAGGACTGGAACTCATTAGCTCTGTAAGCTTTAATGCGGGCAGGAAAAGGAAGGGTGATGAGGCATTATGGGACTGGTATAAGCCCAGGGGCTGCAGAAAAACACTAGGTAAGACTGCAAGTAGGAGGGAAGGAAAAGAGGAAAAGGAGTAAGAGGACTAGGGGGAAAAAAAAAAAAAGAAACAGGTATAAACGTGGAGGTAGGGAGAATCCAAGATAAGCCTGCCTATTCTAGAGGGAGCGATGGAGGATGGACGGCCTCTTCAAGGCCACTGTGAGCACTGATGCCCACACAGCTGTCTGTGGAAGGACAGTTACAACAGAGTAACCAGTCATTGCAAAAAATGAAACATGTAGAGCATGTATGTTTATTCTGGTGATTGTAAATACAACAAGACATAGACTGTCATACAACCTGGGACTGTCATACAACCATAGACATACACACCTGAGATGGTTGGAAGCCCCATGAAAATACAGAGCTAAATTAATAGAGTCTTTTACCTACAGTTACAGTGAGAGCAGGTCTGCCCCTTGTTCATAGCATGCTTCTAAACTGGATTGACCCTGGGCCCACACTCCATCCAAAAATATTCCCCTAAACGGATGCTTCCCCAGATCCCAGCACCTGGGATGACTCACAGAGACTGGTTAAATATTTACATGAAAAAGCCCAAGTGTCAAAATTTAACATTTTTGCAGAATAATATAGGGTGAAAGAGCCGGAGAAATTATCTAGTGCATACACACACACACACACACACACACACACACACACACTTAACTTGTGAAGAAAACATTTAATATCTGCTGCTTGAAACCATTCTATTCTATTCATTTTCATTTACTTTTCTGGAAACATCTGCCTATGAGGTGATTTCCTTCTTTCACATTTACAACATACTGATGAATTTGGAAAATCAAATTTCCAGTGTTGTCAGTCCACCTGAACATATATTTCATTATTTGGAGGGAAGATACACTCATCCATTTTGCATAAAAATGAGGAAAATCACAGCAAGAATCAGACAGAAAAATTCTCAGGCAAAGTTCTCTAAACTTTAGTCATTACCTGCCTGTGAACTCATCTTCATCTCGGCTTAGCCTGAGAGACAGCCACGTGTAGGCCTCTGATTTCTTCTAATTGCAGTTCACCACCTATGGGTTAGATGACTTGTCCTTGGAGCTGAAGTTCACTCACATTGTTTGCAGGGGTTCCTCCATCTTCCCTTGAATTTCTAGATGTTGGCTTCATTTCATGGCTGTAAAAACATCTGGCCTGCCGCTCCCTGAACCTCCTGGCCTCCACGGCTGCCCAGACTTTCAGAATCTGCAGGAACCTCCTTTGCTGAACTTCCCACCGTTCCAGCCATGCTGTTGGGCTTATTACCTAACGGAGTTATTTCCTTTGTTTTGCCTCAACCTGAGTTCTTGGCTCATTTCTCCAAATAGCTACAACTGGTAACTCCCTAATTCATCCAACCCCCAAAAATCCTGTACTTAAATGAATGCTCCCAAAGATGGTATCACCTCAAAGTAAAACCAAATATATTCACCCAAGCAACGTTTAGAGCTTTTTAAACGAAATGAGAAGGTGGGGGTATCTGGAGTATAAAGGCATAGTCTCAACAAAAGCACAAGACCTGGGAGGCAAAGAGGGATGGAGAAGGTCACTGCACCAGGAGTCTGACAGACGGGTTCCTGGACATCTCTCCATCTCGCCATCACTTACTATATCCTCTGTGCTCTTGGGAGAATATCGTATTTTTATCAATAGTATTTTGAAGGACATGTGTGCTGGGCTTTCTGCTGAGCACTGACATACGGTCAGGAACAAAATGGATATGGTCTCTTTCTTCACAGAGCTTAATATAATCCAAAGCCTGAGGCCACTTCTCAGGATGCCTTAGAGGAGCTTCTCCAGGAATCCATGGTCAAGATGAATTGAGATGTTGTCTTCTAACACATCTAGCTTGGGAGGTCCTTTCCCACTTAGTTTGGTGGGACCAGGAGAACTTTCTAGACTTTCCCTTTGATCTCATCTAAAAATCCAGCTGTGTCTGAAATCACTCTATCTGAACATCCACAATATATTTAAATCTGGAATTTTTATCTCCCTCACCCAATCTACTTTTTTCCCGGTCCAGCATCAACTACTGTCAATTCTATCTCCTACAGAGACCTCTCTTCATCTCCAGGGCAGTCATCTGTCCAACTTTCCATCATCTTTCATCTCAACTATAGCCTATCTACCATGTGTCCCTTCAATGATTTCTCCTCACAGTGGTCAGAATTGTTCAGAATTAAAATCTGATCATTCCACTCTTCTCTCTACCTCCACTTTCTTAAACTCTTCAGTGTGTTCCCACTGCACTTTGGCTCAGATTAAAATGCACAATGTAAATAACATTGTCCTGGCATGCTTCATCAGCCTCACTTTAGGCTACTTATCCTCATTTTGCCATCTCAGGACTTTTGCCCATGCTCCTGCCTAGAACATCCCCATTTTACCTGTGCATCTCGTTCCCTCATCCTACAGATCTTAGCCCCTTCCTCAGGGAAGCCCACAGAGTTTCAAATTCTGACCACTACCTTGTCATCCCCACCAGGTTCCCATCTGATACGTTGTCACTGCACCCTGTGATTTACTTCAGGGCGCTTATCATAGTCTGTAATTATATATGTGTATGATTAGTAAGTTAGTTAATATTGGACTTCCCTATCAAATTTTAAGTTCCATGAAATCAGGAACCAAGATGCTTTGCTTATTTTGTATTCCCTTGCCTAGCACATTGCTGGCACATAGGCCAGTGTTCAATAAATATTTGTTAAATAAATTGAGAAATCAGCTTGTATTTGCCTTTCTGACTAAGGGGCAATCTATCACTTAAGGTCGAACTCGCTGACCCCATTAGTTGTGCTATCAATGTTATCAGTTCAAACTCCTATAACTTCCTTAAGCCCTTGGGTACTTCCATAAGGGCTCCCTACCTCTGGTTCTGCTATCAACCTCCCCTCCAAGATTAATCAGTGCTGTCATAGGGATTTCCTAAGACCTGTTGGTCCAGAGACACTATGAAGGAGCCTGCCTCTGCGTTGAGCCTTCCTGGACCCAGGGGTCACAGAATAAAGAGAGCATCAGGAATCATTTTGTCCATTTTTCTGCCTACAGGCAGGACATACCCAAATCATCCAGGCTACAGAGAATCTCTTCTATTTAAAATCTCTCCAGAAATTCCATAACTTCTATGGGCAACCCAGCCCAATATTTAATGAGGAAAACTTCCAGGAGCTTCTAAGAAAAAATGACCAATTTTGACTCTTCTCCACGCTATCAATCCCAATAATTCTCAAGAACATGAGAGATCACAGGACCATCTGTGTGGAGGAAATAGCTAAACATTCTCAAAATGAAAAGCTTTTTAATATTTCAAAATTATTTGTGACAACTTAATCTACGCCACAGTTTAGAAGGATAGTGCTGGCCACAGTTTCATAAATGTTTGCCTGTTGAAAAATAAGACAATTCTGTTGATATTCATAATACTGATATTCTTCCTTAACTGTGATTTTTTTTAAAACAAAATATGAGTAATATCCATTCTTCTGTGTGATGCATTAAAATAACCAGGCTCCTATGCAGATTCTGGTTTAGCAAAGTTTCCAAGCACATTTTGCACAGCACCTGCCCAGGAAGGAACTAGATCATAGCTCTTGCTTGATTAGTTCCTGGAAATAAATAGCCCACCAGCCTGAACTAGGTCAGGCAAGGCAACATAGCATTCTGTCACACTGGACACCAGCAGCTTCCCTGAACAGTTCTCTTCCACTTCCTCTAAAAAAACTGGAAAGAATTCTGCTACAGATCCATAGCATGAGCCCCAGCCAAAACCATCCAGTCTCATGCCTAGGTAAAATATTTACTTAGCCCTCTGGGTATGTTCCCCCTCTCCACCGCCAGAAATAGCAACTAGAACTTGAGTACGATGCCACCCAATTAATGATAGTACCTTGGTTATGGATCAAGTAATCCAAGGAACCTATCTTCCCACAGGCATAAGAAGAAAAACAATAGTAATGGTTACTTAACACTTAGTACACGTCAGGTTCTTGATGCATTTGTACATTGCATGAATGATTTCATCTAACCCTAACCATATCTTAGACATTTTTTTTCTTTGTTTGTTTTTAATGTGGTAGCAACATTTAACACGAGATCTAGCCTCTTAACAAATTAAGTGTACAACACAATATTGTAAACTGTAGGCCCTATGCTGTACAACAAATCTCTAGAACATAATCATCTTGCATAAATGAACTTTTATACCAGTTGAATAGCATCTCCCCACTTCCCTCTCCCCTAGTCCCTAGCCACCACCACTCCACTCTGCTCCTATGAGTTTGACTGTTTCACATACCTCACATAAGTGGTAACATGCAGTATTTGTACTTCCGTGACTGGCTTATTTCACTTAGTGTAATGTCTTTTAGGGTCATCCATACTGAGGCATATGGAGAGATTCCCTTCCTTTTTAAAGGCTGAATAATATTGCTTTGTAAGTATAGACCATATTTCCTCTATCCATTCAGCTGATGATGGACCTTTTAGATTGTTTCCACATTTGGGCTATTGTGAATAGTGCTACAATGAACATGGAATTGCAAATATCCCTTTGTGATTCTGATTTCAATTCTTCTGGATAAATGCCCAGAAGTGGGATTGCTGGATCATATAGCATTTCTATTTTTAATTTTTTGAGGAACCTCTATAATATTTTCCACAGCAGCTGCACCATTTTATATTCCCACCAACAGTGCACAAGGGTTCACGTTTTCCATATCCTCACCAACACCTGTCTTTTGTTTTTCTTGTAATAGCCATCCTAATAGGTGTAAGGTGATGCTTCATTGTGGTTTTACTTTGCATTATTTGATGCTTAGTAATTAGTGATACTGAGCATCTTTTCATGTAACTCTTGGCCCTTTGCACATCTTCTTTGAAGAAATGTCTATTCAAGTCCTTTGCCCATTTTTTAATCAGGTTATTTTTTTGCTATTAAGCTGAAGTAGTTCCTTATATATTTTGGATATTAAATATGTTTTTTAGAGACAGAGAAATGAAGGCACAGAGAGGTGGGCAATTTGCCCAAGTGTGGGCCAAGGTTCAAACCCAAGCAGGCTGATGT